GGTCTGCTTTTCATACGAAACGTCGTTCACAAACACGTTCGCCGACGCTGATGAAAAAAAAGCCGTCACATTATGGTCCACAGACGCGGGAGAAAATAACGAAGAGAGAAAGAGAGAGAGGAAGAGAGAGAAAAAGAGATAGAGGAGCAGGGGGGGATGATAAGTACAGGAAATTCACCGATTCGACTTTATTAAACCCTTTGACGCGGCCTGACGCATCCTGGTCGAACGCGTTTCGCCTTTCACCTTTTCACGCGCACCCCGCAGGGAGATTTCCCTTCGCTCCACGTCAGCAACAGTAGCAGCGGAGTATAGGAGGGAGGAAGATAGAGAGAGAAAACTTTGAAACTTTTGAAGAAAATCTCGCGGAGCTCTCTCGCGGAGCGGCCACGCGCTAATAAAGATTTCTCTATTTTCCGCGCGGAGTTCTCAGAGTAAATTACGCGCCGCTCTGTTTCACGGGTAACTCGACGCGATTGATAACCTGAATAATTTCAAGGAAAACAACAGCTGAGGCGACGGGCAGAAATGAGGTTTTTCCCTCTCTCGCAACAGCCGCGGTCACACGTAGAGGTCCACCCACCACTCTCGTAAAGTAAATGAATAAAAATGTTTCTGATCGAATCGGTGGAGGCAGTGTCTCGCCGATAATTAACGAACACTCGCTGATTTTCAATGGAAACACTGCCCCATCTTATATCTCACTGATTTTGATCAGTGGAGGTAAGATTTCACTGCGAAGTCTGTAGCGCACAAATATTCTGTGCCAAGTCCGACTTCCTAAGTTTGTAGCGATGGATTTGCCCTTTATAGGGCAAAATCTTTTTTTTTAGAGGTGGCGACTTTAATGTCTATTACAAGTTCACATAAGTACCTAGATACATAAAAAATATGTGTGAAACATAAAAAATCTTATATTTATTATCATTATGATTATTATTTGGCAAACATCAACCACAATCCATTCAGGAGAAGTGTTCAACCATTCAGGTTTTATGATCAATATTTCAATTATTTATAGAAATTTGCTTTTTTATTATATATAATATTTGTAAACAAAAATTTAAACTTTACACAAACATAAAAAATTTGCATTAATCTAGTACGTTTGCAGTTACATGTAAAAAAAATTACAAATATGTTAATTTATATTATATACTACAAGTAGATATTATTTCATTCAAAAGTACTTTCATTTTTTAATCAGCATTTTTTATGGCAAGTATTTGTATGATTATGTATAGACCTGTTTTCATTACATATCATCTGTATGACAAAAATTACTGACAAAATTCTATTTTTAATTATTTCCTTTTTGTCTTATTTTATAAAATAGATATTTTGAGTTTCACGTGAGATGATTAAAATATCGACTACAAATTTATAAAGGATTAACGTCTTCCATGTAACTTCAGAAACATACGATAACGTACGATAACGCTGTTTGTATTTGCAAACAGCATCAACTATATCAACATAGCATAGGAACTATATAAACAATAGATGCTTCTATCAACTGGTTCTCCCCGCGAGATCTTACCGATTGCGGTGCTGCACTTGTGACTGAACCACCAGTCGCAGGTGCAGCACATCTCAGTGAAGAATACACCGATTGTACCTCAGGGAACACGTATTTCGCGCGAGTGAAGTTTACGCGGCGCCAGCGTGAGACGACTCTCGCTGTTATTGCACCTCCCACGCCCTCCGCTTCCACGAACTTTTTTCCTTCAAGACTGCCGAATTTATTCCATCGAGCGGCCTGATAATCGGCTTAAGGCATCACCTTTTCGCGCGTATTAAGCTCGGCGAGGTTGGAGGCGTGCTGCTGGCGCAAAACGCGCCGATAAGAAATGGCCGGCCGCGGCGTATGCATCTCCCTGGTAAGACGAGCGTTTTTCTCGCGAAATGTAATTAATAATCCCGAATGCGCATGCATTACCGCGGGTTAATGCGCGCGGCGGCGCAACGCCCCGGCCGTTCCTGCTTTAGTGGAGGAGCCCGGCCACCGCCGTAATGGAGGAGTCTCAGAAAACACGAAGCTCGCGCGCACGCGAGTGTCATACCGCTACTGTACGCATACATTCCGGGCTTTTCGCGTGTGCTTTTATCCAAATTGCCGAGCCGCGTTCGCGCGCTCCGGCTTTGAGACAAAATCATAACCGTGAACAAATTACGTCTTCCGAGCGCGCGCGTCGAGGTATTAAAGTAATTATATTTACCACCGTGATAAGAGAGAGAGAGAGAGAGAGAGAGAGAGAGAGAAATAAACAGACGAAAGGTACGCCACAAACTGCGTTAATTTCCTAAGGCACGCGCGCGACAGTGAATCGGCCGAGCAAGAGAAGCAGACGCGATCTCGCGATGTTCGAGTTTCTACAATCTGCGAAATTTAACACCGCCGAAGAGGAAAGCAAGTCTATCGAAGGTGAAGCGATGGATCCCCTCCTTTAATGACGCGTCGCGACCCCGTCGTCGTCGCCTAGGCCGCACTCGTGTCGTTCAATCGATTGCACAAGTCTTCCGACGTGCCTGCGGAGATAACGTCAGCAGAGAGGGTGGACAAGTCTTTCAGTGACGAAAATAATACGAGAGAGAGGTTGGGAAGAGAGGGAGTGAGATGAAAAGTGCAGGCCGTGCGCTGAATCGAACGACGCGAGGGTCGAAAGTGGTGTGATAATGAGAAGGGAGCAACGCGAGTACCAACGAGAAGGACGCGGGCTAAGAATGACGATCGTTGGCGAAAAGAGGCGTCGAATAAGAGAACGGGGGCCACGTGGGAACGAGGGCGAGAACGTTGACTGCCGGAGGAATAAGTTTGGGGTGATAAATCGGCGAGTCTCGCGCCAAGTGAGAACCTGGAGCGCGCTATGCGCGCGATGGAAGAGAAGATGGTGATGACGGCAGCGGTGGTGATGGTGATGGTGGATGAAGGGGTTGGGGGTTACGAAGAAGCAGAAGAATGGGGAAAATAGGGCTGTTTCGAGATTAAAAACGGGGTAGCCGCGTTCTCCGGCTGCTTAAGCATGCAAATGAAAATAATTTCTTCCGGAAATCTGCCACGAGAGAGACAATTTATCTCGCACGCACTTTCCGCACCGTCGATTTCGAGCGCGCCATATTATCTCCTGGAAGAACAGAGCGATCGTGCGCGGTGGCGCCGCCATGAAAACATAATGAAGCTTCTTATCGCGATTGTGTCGTAATATCAATATACCGTAGATAGATTAAAACGTTCTAACGTGTGAAGCAGTCGTAGGCGTTTTAACACTGGAATGTTCGGGAACGACCACTCCTTTTGAATGCTCGAGTCATTTTGACCCAATGTGACTCTAATATTTTAAAACTCTCTCTGTTTCCTATTACTCGTATGAATGGCAAATTCTGAACACGCTGAGAACATAATATGCAAAATATAGACATTTTTATATTGTAAACAAATTGCAACAGTTTTCATAATCTTATCAAACTTATAATTTCTAACTTATTTCTAATTTCTTAATAATCTTATCAAACTTATAATTTCTAACTTATTTCTAATTTCTAATTTTTTAATAAAGTGCATCATATAATTATTACTTACTTGCACTCTGTAATTAGTAATTAATAAATATAATTAGTAATTAGTAACGGAGAAAATATTGTAGCAAAGTTATATTAAAATTATATCCTTTTTATAAATACTTTTTATAGAGTTGGATTATATTGTAATTTTAATATAAATTACTATAAATATAGTGTAATAATAATAATAATAATAAAGTAATAAATACTAGAAATAATAAAAATTTTACAATCTTCGATTTTATAATATAATATAAAAAACATTACAATGAATGATTACAATAATCTTGTGATAAAAAGTAAAACGTGCATAACATTTTTAAACAAATATATAGTGATTTTAATCAAAATTCTGAATGATCCAAAATTGTAAAAATTTTTTGTAATTTTTGCTATATCTTCTCTGTGTACAAAAAAAAGTCAAAATTCGGTCGGGTGAGTCAGTTTTAAACGGCGGTTATTTGAGTATTCGTCTCATTAAGTGAATCAAGAGGGGAGACGAAATTATGTAGTTATAAATATTATTCAGTAAGCGTCGGTGGTGCTAATCTAATAATGGAGAATAATGACAAATAAATCCGCTTGCAAACTTAAAGGTAAATTACTTTGGAAGTCGCGAGAGAGAAGCCTTTCCCGGCGCGCAAATAAACACAGTTATTCGATAGTTAGGAGTTATAACCTTCCTTTTTTCTCCCTCGTCGAAGATTAAGACAGCTTTCTAGAGTTCGGACGTGCCGTGTAGCTTAAAAGGAAGTGTCGTGCATAGCAAACGATACCGCCGGCACTTAACTGCTCGCCTAGTTCACGCTAATTAAGCATGAATATTTGAAGAAGGACTGCGGCGATGTTATACCCGGCTCTCTCTCTCTCTCTCTCTCTCTCTCTCTCTCTCTCTC